TTTTAATTTATCACTAATTCATTTTCGTTGTCCCATATTGACATCTAGCAATGTATCAGGGCAATACATATGACGGGAAATATCACGTAGCATGACAAAACCAAACTTGTTCATTTACCGTGAAACTATAATCCTTTCGTCAATATGATCCGATCAATTATGAGATAAGGATATGTGTCAATCTCAATTATCGATCATATCCTTTATCCTACTGTTAAGTCAATGTAAGTCGAAAACTCATTTTCGACTTATGAGTTCACCTTAGCCAAGAATTTCATTATCAACTTAACTGAATAAAATGTAGATCATAATCTCTTACTATCTAAGAATGACGAATCCTGTATCGATCATTCACAACCTTCATATGATTCTTGACATACTCGAATGATGATGTATTAGCGACCATTGGTAGAGCAACATCCAACATCATCAAAGTATGGCTGCCCTCATATAAGGTACTATGATGATCTTAAGTCAATGGACCAAATTCAATACCGAACGTTAGAAATTAACCACCAACACTCTGATAGTTATCCACGTGGAATCTCCCAGCGGGTCTCCAATGTTTTGTTCTATAACAAAACATTCACGTGCTCATTCAAGTGTCATCACACTTTAACTTGTGATATCAGCTACTTACTTCACAAGTAAGAATGCCACACGCGATGGTCTATTCGTAATAACGATATCCATATCTCGTTATTACTTCGACCACGAACGATTTAAGATTCAGTAATATGTAATTTGTATCTCATAATTACAACTCCTTATGATTAACAAATCACCAAAATTTGAATCTACGGATTATATTATTTAATTTATTAGAATATTAATTCAATTAAATAATAGATATTGCCATACATATGTATCGATTATATATATATATTCAAAGTGTTTATTTCCAAAATTGATTGGACTTAGGGTATAATACTTATATTTACTGTGTACCTTGTTTTATTTCTTTGTGACTATCTTGTTTAGAGAAAAGTTTTGACATTGAAATTGAAACTCAAGAAAATGTAAGTGGTGTTGAAAAAAAAAAAAAAGAAAAAAAAGAGTAATTAATTCTTACGCAAAACTGAAATGACAAGTTTATGGATAAACATTCACCACGTACATTCCGAAATTGATTCGCGGCCAAGGTTTTGGTTAACATCGACGTGTCAGCACCTGAGAATTCGAGCCGCCGCGTTAAATGCCACGTCAACTCATCATTCATACGTGGCAACTTTCTACTTCAAATGTGTGTAACGTCAGCTTTGCTCAGAATTCACGTGCGTTTCGACGGGGGTAAATCCTGACCTCTTGAATCAGCCGTCCTAAAACGCATCAAGGCCAATCAATATAGACACCACTCTCTCTCTCTCTGTAGATACACACATATATGTATATTTCTGTGCCCTGTATGTTTCTCGTTCTCTCAGCACCCCACCTCCCCCCCTTCTGCTTCTGATACCAAGAGATTCAACTAATTAACTTGCCTATAGAGCCACCTTGGTTTCAATCTTGAAAGGAGCTAGGTAAACCATTGTTAATCTTTATAATTAAATCATTTCAATCAAGCGTTTCCTCTTTGTTTAATGAATTCTTGATATAAAGATTTAGATCATTTGAAGAAGTACTTATTCCAGATTGTAATCTCCTTTTTCTTCAAGAAAACCCTCATTTTCGTTTTTTGGTGAGATCCCAGTTTTTATTTTTCAGACTTTGAAAAAATATTTTACATGAAAAAATATTTTACATGAAAGAATTCTGGTAAATTGGAACGAGTTTTGATTCAACTCAAATGGGTTTTCTTAGAATTTCAGAAATCTTATCTCAATCCGAAGAAAATTCTACGGGGAAAGACTTGGATATATATATCTATACTGCTGTTTTTTTTTATTCTTGAAAATTAGCGTAATAAACAAGAAAACCAGCTCTTGCTCATCTCCTTGTATAGTTGTCTTTCGTGAATTTTCCACGCGTTTGTAAGTCTTTTTTTTTTCTATTTAAAGTTGCTTAAATTGATTTAATTTGCTTATTTTTCTCCAAAAAACTTAGTGAAGATGGATATTACTTACCGGCCTTACATTGATCCCGATTTCGAAATTCTAATAGAAAGAATACATCCTCCGAGGTTTGTAATTCTATCTTTACATTAATCAAATTTTATAGTTGATTAGCATTTAATTTATATGATCATATTGTTCTTACAATTTTCTTTTTTTTTTTATCATGCATTGCATGCTTTCTTTTTCTGGGTTTTTAGGGTTTGTATCGACAATGATACATATCGAGACTGCACTCTTGTCAAGGTTAGTAAGATCTGGACTGCATTAAGATTTTTCGCAAATTGTTTTTAGATCTCTAGCCGTGAGAAGACACTGTCAGCAGCATGTTTTTTGTAAATGGTTTAACCAGATATTTCAATATGGATTGGCTTGTTGTGACCCACATACTGGTGGCTAACAGCTTTGAATTCATATAACTTTTTACCAGAATTTGTCAGGATCCCATAATCCTAACCTACTTTTTTCAGAAAGTAAGATGATCCTATAAACTGCGTGGTGGATTCGTCCACTCAAATCACGAGGCATCAGATGTCAAACCATTCAATTCATGGTCCTTTGATTCCACTTAGCATTCAAAGTATCGTGATTTAAGTGATTCGAGATCTGAAGAATCGTAATTTGAATAAATGATTTTATCATACATACATATAACAAGTTTATGCCAATAAAGAATTGATGTAGTTAATGGAGAATATATAGCTTTAAAAATCCACTAATCCAATTTATTGCTTTAATTCCATACACATACGTACCAAGATATGTATTTTACTTACTTGACACATGACTCTCACTAGTCCATATATTTTAAGAAAATTTTGTGGGCGGACGAGTAAGTTAATGAGCTCGGATATTAATAAACTTTACGAATATTATGTTATTAATTAGTTTATTTTTAATTAATCTGCCTAACTTTTGGTGACAGGTTGATAGTGCAAATAAGCACGGGATGCTGCTAGAAATCGTCCAAGTTCTAACAGATCTTGATCTCGTGATTTCTAAATCATACATCTCCTCTGATGGTGGTTGGTTAATGGATGGTGAGTAATTATTTAATTATTTCTTATTAAACAATTAGTTTATAAATATAAAATTATAAATCCTACGTGTATACAAGTCACAATGAATATTTTTTTGTGTTTGTATTCATATTTGGTGGTTTTGATTGCATGGTTTGCAGTATTCCACGTAACTGACCAACAAACGAACAAAATTACTGACGAAAGCCTCATTCGATACATCCAAGAGGTCTCTCTCTCTCTCTCTCTCAATGCCGGGTTTCCTCGTCACGATGTCTATACAAAGGATTACATATGGAAAATATTAAAGCCGCACTTTCCAGCTGTCATTTTTGCGGTTTTTATTGCTGATTTTGTTATGTTTGTTATAGGGAATTTGTGCAAGTAGGAGGGCTTACAGGGAAATTAGACCAAGTATTGACAAAGAGACGATGTTAACACCGATGTCAATAGAGAACACGGCCCTAGAGATGACGGGGATGGATCGCCCGGGTTTAATGTCAGAGATGTCGGCTGTGTTGGCCGAATTGGGTTGTCGTGTATCTGCTGCCATGGCATGGACTCATAAGAGCCGAGCAGCATGTATTATCTACGTGGAGGATGCCTCTAATGGTGAGCCAATCACGGACCCATGTCGGGTGGCCCAGGTTCAGGCCCAGTTGGAAAATGTGGTTGAAGCCCACCACTATGACAACGAGAGACGAAGTGTAAGGTTGACAGCCCCAGCTCCAGGCCAAACCCACACAGAAAGGCGGCTGCACCAGTTAATGGTGGCCGATGGAGACTATGAGATGTGTTGTTCTTGTTGTAGTGACGATGACAGTGATGACGATGATGTATATGGGCATGGAAGGCATTACAAGGCAAAGAAGAAAGAATGTTACGGCACGCACGTGAAAATAGAGAAATGTAAAGAAACAGGCTACTCGATTGTCATCGTGAGGAGTCGAGATCGACCCAAGTTATTGTTCGACACCGTTTGTACTCTTACTGACATGCAATACATAGTATTCCATGCAGCTATTAGCTCCAAGGAATCTATAGCTGTACAGGTAGAAAACACATCATAATATCTATGCAGATTCTTGTAGTGCATTCTTTGTCTCTAATCTTAAATTTCTGAAAATCACAGGAATACTATGTAAAGCACAAAAGTGGACGCTCTCTGGATTCAGACGATGAAAAGCACTTGGTTACCCAGTGTCTAATAGCAGCTACAGAAAGGAGAATTTCCCATGTATGTGACAGAAACCTGTATTTTTCTCCCACTGGTAAACAAGAAAAATTGAGGATTCACAATTCTACATATATGTGCAGGGATTAAGACTAGACATTTGCACAGAAAACAGGACAGGACTATTATCGGATATTACGCGAGTATTACGAGAAAATGGATTATCTATAACAAGGGCTGAGATTGGTACCCGTGGCGGGAGAGCGGTTGGTACATTTTATGTGAAAGATACCTCAGGACAAAATGTCGATCCAGAAACACTCGAAACGGTGAGACGAGAAATTGGAAGCACTGTTGTAGTGGTAAACAAACCTTTGAGCACGCCTTCAAGGGCTACCTCGTCCAGAACAAGTAGGAGCAACAGTAGCGAAATACAAGAAAGGCCGAGGTTTACGCTGGGAAGCTTGTTGTGGTCGCACCTTGAGAGAATTTCGAGCAATTTCAAACCCATAAAATCCTAAAGTTCTTACGGACAAAGGGCTCACCTATAAATACCAATTAGCACATGTGAACAAGTTTCTCATTCATCTGTAAATAATAAGAGCCAGCAGCGGCCCCTACAGAAAATGAGCATGTAAATAAACAACGCATGTGTTTCTCTTCAGTAGTACCTGGAATCTGCAAAGTTTCATCCTATTGCAAACATTTACTCTCTGGATCCTGCACATTTCCAAAGTTCACCAGAAAGCATCTTGCAAAACAATATGACATGAAAATGCAATCACTTCAATATGATTATCCAATCAGCACGAGTGATCGAATTGGAAATACGCACACGAGGCAATATCAAGTTAACATCATCTGGATATTGCCAAACATTTACAACGCTCTTCTGAATCTATACAGCATTTTAATAAGTATTTCACAGTAAGATAAAATCCAGGCTTTACTCGCTGTGAGGTCTATGTACAAATGTATTATTTGCAAAGCCCTTAATGCAAGGAATAACAGTCAACTCTATTGAACTGACAATAGAAAATTAAAATGGATCACGACACATCAATTTCTTCAACATCTAACAAGTCTCGTGAGTCTTTTTCAGAACTGTAATTTGTTTTATTGAAACAGGCAGGCACATCTCCATCATCTTCTTCAAGATCACTAAATGACACATCATCCTCATTCTCAATGGGGATGGTGGTTCCACTGGCACCACCAATTTCAGAACTTTCTTCTTTTAACCAGTCATTACCATCATTCTGATCCTCATCCTCCACTTCCAAAACATTAGAGGGACCAGAGTTCAAGTTTTGATCCTTGACTTGGTCAACGACCTCTTCTTCAATCACTGATTTGTCAACAATTTGAATTTCAATGCTCTCAACTTGGTGCTTCATTATTTCAGAAGCAGAAGCTACAGTGGAAGTGCTTAATTCAAGGGCAGATGCTTTTTCAGGCTCATTTTCAGAAGTAACAAATGATGACATGTAAAGGGAGTCTTCATGAGGAGCGGTACTGTCTTTTGGATCAGAAGATCCTTTTACAGGTACGTCTTCTAGTTTTGTTGGTATCTGGTTCTTTGAGTCCTGTGCAAGCGAGCTTCTGATTTTTATTATCTGCGTGGCATGACAGTAATGGAGGTCAATGACTTGGTTGCTCAACGAGAAAGGAAAAACCTTGCATGGGGTTCATAATTAGGTGGATGCAAAAATTACAGTACAAGTATTAACAGCCTATTCATAGACAAGCCATTTATCCTAGGGGGCAATTGTAATGAAACTTTATCAAATCAAATATAATGGCAACTACCCCCAATATTCATCAGTGACTTACAGACAATGCCAAGGTGTTCATTTAACTGGAGAGTAATTTTAGGGACAAATATTCTTTGCCTTGTCCATTTACTTAAAACACATCAAAAACAAGAAACAATTGAACGAATCAAGAAGAAAAAAAGGAAATGGTAAGAATATGACAAACAGTTATGTAAATGGCATGTAATGGAATGATGTTGAGGTAAAAATGTCAAGGGCCAAGGACTTTATTACACATCCTCATAGAAACACAGTAAGCAATGACTAAAGTTTGTTCTGACCCAGTGGAGAAATGCTGTTGCTTAAAAAGGTCGTTGGTAGGGAAGACTTGGACCACTACTTTTCAGTTAAGTACTAATTAGGTGGGATTCCTTATAGATGATAAGTACTTACAATAAAAATATACAGATTGATGTCATTTTTCACTTATATTTCAAGCTGAGATATAAAACAATTCTTCTTTTTCATTTTAGTGCATCTGCTCATTTGGTCTTTTCTATTGACTATACATGCACTACTGCAATTCAGTTTTCATAAAATACATAATGAAGCTTCCACCATACACTAGCACAGTCTCCTCACGCACCCAAAAATATAGATAAATTAAAAGCATGTTTGGGAAGAGTTTATAAACGATTTAAACTGTAAATAGATATAAATGAGTGGAGGAGGGTCCCTCGAAATGTGTTCATAAAAAGTGGCTTAAGTATTCATAAATAGTTCATAAACATGAGCCAAACATAGCTCGTGTTTGAGTCCCATTATTCAAAAATTCATTTTTTCCAAACTCATTTTCAACCACGTATTCTACCAATAAAATAATTTGCACGCAAACCCAAAAATTCTCTCTCTTTTTTAACCACACATTGTCAAAAAATCACTACTACAAAGCCCATTTTTTGTGAAAACTGGGGCTCAAACAAGGGCTATCTAAATAGCTAAGGACAGTAAATGAAGCTAAAAAGGATCTGCTCCAGCACTAAAATACTCATGAAGTCAACTAAACAATCTGTAGGAATTGTTTGGATAGATGTACATCTTAATCCAGGTTGACAAATGTACCAGATTATCATATAGACATAGAAGAATGAATGCTCAGCTTGGTTGCCCTATTCATATGTATTTACCTTTTTTTTCTTTTTTTGCGGGGGATTTGTTCAGACAGATGTACACGTTAATCCCGGTTGAGAAATCTACCAGAATATCATAGAAAGAACAGAAGGAATGATGATAACGTTCAGGTTGGTTGCTCTATACTACTTTTTTGGTTATATTAAAATGACGACAAAACATACCAAATGCACTTGTTGACAAGCAAAATATATATGATGAGAGAAATTTCATCGGATAAAAATGTTTACCAACCGCAATCTGAGAACCCAAGAAATATAAGAAGCAATGCACATCATCATTATTTTCTAACCAGCTCCAACATACTGAAAATAGATTTTAATTGAATACAGAAAATGCAAGAAGAAGAAGAGACCTGGGATGTTGATAAAATTTCAGCATCCTCTTTATCCAGTCGAGGGTGCAGGAGTACAAAATAGATCTTCCAGAAGCAACTTTCACTCATGTATCCTGGGCAAAGCTCAAACCTCAAAGCAGATAATCTTGGGACAATATGTTCAACAGCTAAGGCATGTTCTTGTTGGGCATCGGACATGTCAAAATCTAGTGTCAAGAAAAAACAAATCAGGACTCTGCCATAATGAATTTCCATTTCCTGAGTTATAAAACTTTCTACCATAACTCGCAATTAAAAATACTTTTGAAGTTCAAAAAAATCTTGAGCGCCAAAGACCCGTTCTCTTTAACCAAAAATAATTGCAAACAACCACGGACTCATAGGCATTTTTGAGCAATTTGCTTTCCACAACAAGATCAACTATGATCTATATAAGAAATTCTTAGGTTAATAACAGAATACGTCAGCAAATATTAGATAACATATGAAATAAAACAACAAATGAATGAAAGAGGAGAAACTAAATACAAATCCATGGTCTTATACAAGTATACGAGTCTTCCTAGATCTACTAGTTCTAACATTTAAAAAAAAAAAAAAATTCCCTCTCCAACATCATAGAAGTTTCTTACTGAGTGCATTATTCGATAATGTCTCACTTTACATTTATTGATTTCTTAGTGCATTATTCAATTTGTTAAACAGTTATTTGAAAGATAATGTCATCATTGAACGATCATTAATCAGATACACAATAAAAGTAATCGAATTATTTATAATCGAGTCATTACCCCACTGTCAACTAGTAGGCGATCATTCATAAATTTCTACTAAAATAAAATTAAATATATAAAAATAATAGCAAAAAGGGTAAAAAGATACAATTTTCATACCATCATTTTCCGGCAATGGGAAATCCAACCAAGTTTTGGGATGCATCGCAATATCTCTGGCGAAAGTCACCACTTCCTCAGTCACACCAACCACTTTTTTCCTAGCCGAATCAAAATTCTCTGCACTACCTATCCAGGACAAGATTTAATTGAATACGTTTGCACTTTGCAGTTCTCTAACACCTTGAGCTTGTAGATGAAATGATTAGCACAGCATACCTTCCTTTTCAATTTCATCATCAGATTCCAAGTGCAGAAAATTCGAAGCCATTTTGGTAATTTCCGACACGTTGATGTTATTCGACAGCTTCGAAATTCCGTTCCTGAACCTTCCCCCGATCTCCGCTAAATCAGTCTGGATCCCAGATTTCTCATCCGGATCCGGTTCTTGTTCTGATTTATTCGGATCGAGCTGTGGCGGTGGGGCTAGAAATGAGGCGACACCCCAGAATTGGTTCTTGAGGGTTTTGGTGAGTTCCGAGAAGTCTTCCTTGACGCCCCCAGACGGAGATATTGGAGATGAAAAATCGTCGTCTTGGAGGAGGTTTTCCGGTTTGGGTTTGTTGCCGGTGCTGACGTCATCGTCGTTTTCGTCAAATTTTAGCGTACTGGCTATTGATCGGGCAAACCATGACATTGCAACTGGGAAGGAGTTTGGGTTTCGAGGCGCCGGCGATAACTGTGAGGATTGGGGATGGATCTCCGTTAGAGTTCGCCTGTCTGGTAATGTTGTCACACTGGAAAAGCATTGAGGGATCTATGAGACCAGTTAAACGGCACCGTTTGGAATATGCTTTCCACTCTTTATTTCTCACTTAGCCCCTCTGATATTTAGTCTTGTTACATAAACCCTTTATTATTTTATTGTCTCCAATGGGTCCAAAATAATATGGCGAATTTTCAGAATTGTCTGAGAATCCTAAGAAAATTTATTTATTTATGATTTTGGAAATTAGAAAGTTTGATCCCCATCCTTTAATACTTCTTACTAATTTGTCTGTATCCTTCAAATTCTTATTTAGTTCCACAGCCATTAGCTTCTTTGGCATAGTTAGTCCTTTTCAAGTTTTATTGATTTTAAAATAATTATTTTATATTTTAAAAATAATATTATAATTGCAATTCACTCGGGTAATAGATCACACTCAAACCCTAGCCCATCTGTATCAATGGATGATAGGCATTTTTTAGCACTGAAATAAACTCTATGATAGCTCGTGGTTCAACCCAATTTGTAGCTCGATAGATCCAAGCCGAGGCCCATTTTGGGGCATTTACTCGAGCCCGAGCCATACAGGCTATTTTTAGCCCTTGACAAGCTGAGCAACAAAAAAAATTGCAATTTTTTTTTAAAAAATATATTTGGTCAAATATATAGTCTTCTTTGTTGTAGGCAATTGTTGCTACCTTGACAAGGCAGCTACACGTAGCTACCAAGCACCATGTTAATACGTCAATTTTTTTTTTCAAAATTGAATTTGTTGAAACAAATATATATTTTTTTGCTATAAATATGAGGTAAAATTTTGAATTTCATTTCAATTTACTTCAATCAATTTTAAAATGCACTGTTCTAATTTCAACTTCAATCTCCAATTTTTTTTGCTCTAATATTCAATTCTTTTACTTTAATATTTAGTATATTTTGCTATAAGAGTCATAAATGAATTTTACTAGTATGAGATTAATCTATTTAAAGGTAGTTTGAGTACTCAATCCGACTACGATGCATCTCAAAATGTTCCAATTGATTTGGAGGGTATCGAGAGGAAGAAGTACTTGAGACTAAAAGATCAAAAAAATAACTATCGAATTATTGGCAACACATGACGTGTGAAAATTTTGGTGTTTAAATGGAGATGATATTTGGAAAGAATATTACAATTACTGTGGTAAAAAAAAACTTAGTTGGAAGCCCGGTTGAAGTACAATGTATTTGAATAGGTATGTATTAAAGAGTTGCAAAGCAAAACTAGTCGATCTCAACTTGAAATAGATTGAACTAGTATTTGACGGTTCGGGTTCTACTCTTTCCATATTTGTATATTCACGGGAAAGATCTTGTGAAAGAATAGTTGCATACATTGTTGCAGCAGAGATGCCGTTTAAGATGATAGATTTAATACACTTTATCCGACTCGTTCAGAATTATCTCAAACTCATAGAAATAGTTCGAAATTTTACTTTTGATAATGCTAGTGTATACTAAGTTTTTGTCAAAAAAATTATTAATGATTTGTACCCTACATTTGGAAGTTTATTTTTTCATCAAGATTGTGTATGCTATATTATCAATTTGATTGTAAAAGGTGGATTAGAACATATAATATTGCATTTAGATAAAATTAGACAAACAATAAATTTTATTGCAACGTTACCAGTAAGAAAGCAAGTATTTAACAATTTGTGTACAGAGTATGGCTTACAATAGAAATCATTTATCACTGATGTAACACATAGATGTAGTTCTACATATCTTATGTTACAGTTGTGTGAAAATTATGATAAATTTGGTTCACTATATTATAATAGAAGGCATACATAAAGACCCGAATATAATTTGGAAGATTGAGAGTGATCTCTTGCATTTTTGTGTAAAGAAATTTGTAAAACCTTTTTTCGATACTACAAAAGAATGTAACGGTGTTTATTACCCTACATCTTCAATTGTTTTACAACAATTTTTCTACATTTCACAAACATTTCATAAATATTGGAATTTGTTGATTTTTTTGGTTGATATAGTTTATGGAGTTAAAATTAAGTAAATATTGGGAAGAGTTTCCCTCTCTATTTCTTTTAGTTTTGGTGATGGACACTAGACTTAATTTAACTGGCATAAAAGTTATTATAAAAAAGATTTTAAATTTCATAACTGTGAAATTATCACATATTCATATAGAATCTATATTATATGAAATGTATATAGCTATTATGTAGAAAATGAGGTCACTTAAGTTCTACTTCGCAAAGTTTTTTTTGAAGAAATATTTAACAAATTCAAATGATATATGAAATTAATTGGACCCCAATACAAGTGTTCCCTCATTTAGTTCTAGTTCATTAATACATAGAACAATATATGTCGGTGGTACAAATCTTGAAATTCCCTCTGAGTTAGTCTTCTATCATGATTGAGGTGTAACGAAAGCCAATATTCAACTGTATTAAAAATTGCACGTGATCATATCTAGGTAGTATCGGTGGTTGCATTTAGTTTAAATGGTCGAGTTTTATCTGACAAACGATCAAAACTAAAAGAAGATATTGATCGCGATCTTCTAACATTGCCGGTGTCTACAGTAGCATCGAAGGCTGCATTTAGTTTAGGTGGTCGAGGTTTATGTAACGAACGATCAAAACTAAAAGAAGATATATTGGATGCCTTAATATGTTTGAAAGATTGGGAATGTAAGAAATTACGTATTCAATAATAAGTTAACAGTATAATTGCCACTATTGCAGCAAATTCAAAAATAGGATATTGTAAGTTTTTAAATTAATTAGTTTTAAAAAATAAGTAATTTTTAAATTCATTTGTTTCAAACAAATTGTACACGAAATATTTTAATTTTATTTGTGTACAATTTTAACTCTATCTACGTTAATTGTAGTTGGTAGAGTCGAGCCTACAATTTTTCTAGGCTCGAGTCGAGCCTAGATTTTTTGGTAGAGTAAAAGTTTGGCTCGACCCCGGTAAACAAAAACCCAAATCATTTTTACTCGAATCGAGTCCAAACTTCAAGTTTCAGCTCGTGACATCCCTAAAGAGGATCAACACCCCATTATCAAGGTGGTCAACCCCATTCTCACTATCCTCTATATGTGCAATCCTATACAGAAAATAAATTAATGTCTATATAGAGTTTGACATTGAGATCCGTAAAATGTATTAGGCTCTTCAGTGATATATTATGTACTTGTGAAAAACTCTATATCAATTGTGACACTCTAGTTTTCCACGTGTTCAATGCATTGGTTCCCATGTATTGACCTTCCAACCCTAGTTTCAATCTAGAACCTGGCATTTCGTATTTTTAGCCTTGATGAACCTTGTTTTGATGATATTTGATCATAAATATAATTTATAGGGTGATGCTTGACCAATTTCGATTTCAAGTTAACAATTTGTAAAAGTTACTGAGGAACGAAACATGAATATTAGGAGATTCAAAGTAAGTAAATTGTCAACTATAATGCAAACAATAGTATTTACAGTACAATATATTTCCTTTTGGTACATCAGCCTCATTCTCAACACTTTCATCATTAATCTCACTCATATTTGCTGAATTTTCTAAAAATAACTTTCAACTTCTAATGCTTTCTCCAATGATTTTCTCTTGTTGAAACTTTATTGTTTCTTTTAGATGATGCCAACTTGTGGACCCCAAGAAGTTGAAGCCAACAAGTCCCTCAAGTACCTCTTTGTCTAATTCCTTTCTAAGTCTTTTATCGGTCGCCAAAGCTCCAATGAACTAATTTATAGTGACAACCTCTATCAAGTAAAGACTTGGAACATGAAGTGTAGAATTTGGCTAGAGTTTACGATATTACTTACTTTTCTTTATAGAGTTATGGGGTATTTATAAAAGGAAAAAGCTATTTGACCAGACTCATTTGAACATATTTAACATAGGCAATTAAAAATAGTAAAAAAATAGTACACGTGTACAAAAGAGAAATAAAAGGGGATAATAATGGTCTAAAGAGAAAGGAAAGGTTGTGGCTGTGGCATTTTATCCCCAAACTCAGAATATCCCTAAATTAGCGAAGTCGGATTCCTGTCGTCACGATTCTCCTCGCCGACGAACCACCCATACGACTCTAGGCCGACATCTTAACCCATAAAAGAAAAATGGCTGGGGTCGTAAGCATTCCAAGTTATTCAGCTCGAATCTAGGCCGACCTCTTCATCCCGCATGTCGACCACCACTAATTCAAACACTGGAGTCTTCATCCCGCTAGTCAACCATCGCTAACTCAACAACGGAGTCATTATCCCCCAAGAACAGCTAGGTAATTATGCTGCAGAGTATGGTTCACTTATTTGACTGGGATGGTTAATTGCATCAGCATCAAATATAATAATGTACAGGTTCATTTTATTTGAATCACCAATTTTGGTTCATTTTAGTTGAAAATTTTGTATGGGTTCATTTTATTCACATCACCAATTGACTTTAATTTTGTGTTAAAAAGCCTGTTTGCCACAGAGGTTACTTGAAAGAGAATTGGAAAAAGGCTATTTGAAGGAGAATTTAAAATGTTGCTTATGTTTGTTGCTTGCAGTGGTCAATGATTTAGGTCGGAGTTGGTAATTTGCAATGTCGAGGTTGTTTCTTGTGTTTGTTTGGTGCTTAAAACTATGTTGGATTAATTGTTTGTGGTTGATTCCCATTGTAGAATGGGAGAAAGAATTCAGGAATTTGTCATAGTTGTAGAGGCAAGTGACACTTCTTTGATGGATGCCGGAGTAAGCGCCGATGCCTAGACTGCAAGAGTGGATTCCAGAAGTGATTTAAGGTGGAGAGGGAGACTGATAACAAAGGAAAACTATTCAAATGCTGCAGTCAGAAATGTGGTTTTTGGGAATGGGTTCAAGAAGGTGAATCTAGTGGCAAATCAAGTGTCAGC